TCTTGGTATCTAGTTTTTCTTATTCTTTTGTCGGTTGCCGGTTTTTTAGTTTTTTTTAACAGTTTTTGAATAAACGAATCCAGGGAAAAATGCAAATGAATTAGGTTGTGACAAGTGGAGCAGATGCAGTGCGCCGCTTGTCAGTGCCCGGGAAAGTGATTTTGCATTTTTTTAATGATTCTACATATATGCTTAATTTCCTGAATTCCCGACACATCCTATTTGACGCATGTTGACATAAAAAATGCCCAAACCTTATATGCCTCTTCAGGCACCTGTTACTTTGTTACAGCTAACTGGCGCACACCATTTATCCCTTCTATCGGCGAACTAGGGCAGCCCATATAAGAGTTTTCACATTTGGTTTTTCAGACGCCCCTTTGGTTTTGGGAAGATTCCAGATGGTTCCCTACCAGTTATTATGAGTTTTTTGTCTTCTAATTTCACTTGGTTTTTGTCCGGTTCTTCCTTTTTTGTTTCTTCTATTATTTTTTTATCACTTACTTATTTTCAAATGCATGAACTTTTTGGCATACTCAAAAGTTTCCTTTCGGAAGTTTGTGAACCTCTTCAAATATCGTTGAAATATTTTCAAAATTAAGATCTGTTTACATTTTCGCAAGCTTTTTATATTTTATGAACTATTTTGGAATTCGAGAACATTTTTGAAAACAAAATAGAAAAACAAACTTCTTGATATATATTAAAAAAAACAATAAAATGATGCGAATGGATCGGCCCAGTTCCGAAGACTCATTTTTTTTCCACTATTCTCTTTTTAGTTTTTTGTTTACACTTCCGAAAATTCTAAATATATATCTGACAAAGATATACTTTACATAATGTGTTAAAAATATTAATCATGCATTTAATAAATGTAAAATGTGTATAGAAATATTGACCATGTTTATGAGAAACGTATACAGAGAATATACAATATGTGTGAAAACAGTTGATCATGTATTTAAAAAATGTTAATCACGCATTTGAATTTTTTTGTTAAACGTATATTTAAAACATCTTATCAAGCATTTGAAAAATTGTAAATGTGTATAGAAAAAATGTGTATGCAGAAAATAATAACCTTGTATTGTATCAAAAATGATAAACAAGTATTTTGAAACAAATTGATCAAGGATTTCAAAAATGTTACCCATGTATATAAAAAAATGTTGACCATGAATGCAATGCTAATTAATCTAGTATTTGAAAAATATTAATCAGGCATTTGAAAATTTTAAAATGTCCAATTAAAACATGCTGTCCATGTATTCTTGTATTTGAAAAATGTTAATCAAGCATTTTAAATATATTTAATGTGTATATAAACAATGTCGACCAGGTATTCAAAATATTTTGATCTTGCATTTGAAAAATGTTAATCAGGTATAAAAATAATATATTACATATATACCAAATATGTTTATTGAAAAATAGTGCATACCGAGAGAAAACATGAAACCGATGAAAATGAGAAGGACAAAACCAAATAAAACCAAAGATAACAGAAGAAAACCTATAAAATGATAGAATAGAATAAACCAGTGAAAAAAAGAGAACAAAAAGACACCGATGTAAAAATAAAACAAGAAAACAAGCGAAAACCCAACAAGAAACAAAGAAAAAATATCAAACTAAATTCAAAATAAAGCGATATATAGATCTCGTGGAGCAGGAGCACTCCGTCAAATAGTGGAACACACGTGTGATGAAAGGCGCAAATGGGCCGACGCACTATGGCCATCTCACTTGAGCGTTTTTGTTTTCTATTGGGTTTTCAAGTCTGTGTTTTCAAAAACTATCTATTTGATTTTTTTTCCATTTGTAATAATCAGTTTTATATTTGTAAAATGTTCACAATGTATTTAGAAAAAGTTCGGTTTGTATTACAACAATTATCATTGATTTTTTTCATAAACTTTTCTGAATTCCTGAATTTTGTAAATTATATTCTTTTAATCAAAAAGTGATCTGGTTAATGGTGGACCAGTCAACCATTTCCAACGAAGCGAATACCGGCGGGTGTCGAGCAACTGCTCCCGTCCTTTCTTGGGTCGGCTCACTCTGGGGCACACGTGGGTGCTTGTTTCCTTTACCAAATCTACATGCACCGAAGAGGAGGTATTGTTCCTAGTGGCTAATCCTATTCGACACCCACAAGCGTTAAATGGTTGCAATGAGACCCATGTGTGAAGTGATATAGGCCGGCCTAAGTCGGGCCTTTGTCATTCACTACGTTTGCCGCAATGTGTTTTCTGTTGTGTTTTTGTTTAGATATTTATTCTATTTTTTGTTTTCTATTTTAATTTCCTTTTCCTTTCTGTTTTCTATTTATTTTGTCATTTTACTTTTTTCATATTTTTAATTTTTCTAAATACATGGTGAACAAATCCTGTAACATGGTGAACATTTTCTTAATACATGTTGAGCATTTTTATTGAACATGACCAATATTTCTAACAAACAGGGAATATTTTTTTAATACAAGTGAACATTTATTAAATACACATTGAAATATATTTATGTACAATCAGGTAACTTGGGTAACAATTGTGAAAGACTACAAACGGTTTGTAGCGTCTACAGTTAGCTGAGTACCGTTTGTTAGGCAAGGTAAGTGAAAGACTATAGACGGCTTGTAGTGTGTGTTGTTGCCTTTGATTTATCCATCTCGCATGGGTTGCAAGCGTGGATTTGAAGACTACAAACCGTCTGAAGTTTACGTGTACACAAATACTTCAAAAGGATAGATGTCCTTTTGAAGGGGCCATATCTGGGAATAAATTTTCGAAGGGCCATAGATGTAGTATAAAAGATACCGAATCCAATCCAGTTCTAGGGCCTGTGTACCGCTCTATGGCCAGAAACGAAAGGCCAGGCAGTGTATAACGTAGATCCAATGGGCAGGAAGCCGGGAACATTGAGAACGGCAAATCTGTCGGCTGAAAATGCTGATGGCGTGAGCGGGTCGAAGAGTGAGGAAAAGTGTATATCTATTTCTATACCTACTAATAAATAAATAAATAAATAAATAAAAATACTAATAAATTAAGGAGCATTTCTAGCAATGCGTTGTCATATGTTTTACGGAATTGGATATTCGAAAAAGAGTGAGGCGTTTTGGCTACCAGGAACATCTGCACCTGCGCTCAATAAAAAAATCAAAACAAATACTAAAAACTTTTAAAAAATTCCAATTTTTTTGGCAGGGTAGATAATTTGGTGCGTGATGTTCGCTCCAAATTTGAAATCATTTTAACATCTGAGTAGCTCTCGGCAAAAAAGATAAATTTAGGGTGTGTTAAACAGTGTACTGTTCACATACTGTTCTGACCCAATTTGTCCTTTTTGCTGAGAGCTATTCAAATTCCCAAATGCTCTGAAATTTGGAGCGCACCTCACGCACCAAATTATCACAAAAAAGTTGGCTTTTTTTGAATTTTTTATGAATTGTTTCTTGAGTGGGTGCAGATGACCCCGAGCTCGGAATTGGATATTCGAAAAAAGAAACCTTTATTTTTTTCTTTAAGTAACCGACAATCCAACATTAAGTTATCTTTCACTGTTGGGATTCGGCCCAACTGTGACAGCCACTATGTCACGCGCGTGAGCGTCAGTTAGTATACCGCATTCAGCCTTACTAGGCTTAGTTCACTCTGTTTTAGCCCATTAGGCCCTGGTTTTAAGTATTTACAGAGAATATGTGAAACCTGATTATGATATAACTTTGCAACCATAACTCAGATTAAAATAATTTGTATATGTAGTTTGATCACAAAAATCTGTAGTTTTCAATCATACTATTATTTGTTCCTATTAACCCCTATTTAATTCCGTTCAAGGCATAAATTTAATTAACATAATTAATTGCTATGGTGTATTTTGGGAAATGCTAACACACAATATTTTTTAGTAATCTTTATATAGTATATGAAATATGTTATGAGGGCCTATATGGATCAGAAGGAGTATGAATGATTGGTCTCAATGGGCATGTAGGAGTAATAAAGAAAACAAAGAATAAAGGCGTGATAAGTAGGGACAAAAAAAGAACGGGAGACTCAAAAAGTAAGACTGAGAGGATAACACAAGGTAATTGGTACTAACACCAAGGGCGTGGCATGCATGCAATGCAACGATAAAAAAAGTAATTGATACCGAGCGATGTGGGAGAGGCACCCATATATGCGTTGTTGCATCGTTGTGCGACCGTTATGTGCAACAAAAATAAGAGCATCGAGTTGTATGCAATGAACTAGGGTTGTTTCGCGCAGATGTAGACAATTCTTTTATTAGTCTTCAAGCATATGCAAAGATGCACTAAAACACATTTAGTAGAATCCTGTTATTGAGATTTTTCTCACGATTTAGTGCAGATTCAAAACATTGCTTCAACTTGCAAATAATGCATATGTATGATTTTTTTTTTGAAAATTAGGCTCTTTAAGACCATAACCGTCGTACAAAAACCGTACCAAAAGTATTGTATGTGTAGCATGCTTGTTAACATACTACTGATATGAATTTCTGCTAGACCTCATTGTGCACCTCTCTGTTGGCCAGGCATAATTTGGATGTTGTTCGGCCGTGCTGATGGATATCTCAGTGGACACGTCAATTATCTCTCCTATTGCAATGCACAGACATATGTGTTAGTTGTTGTATAATATCTCTAAATTTACTGAACACTTATATTGCTTTTTTTACAAAGAAAGTCATTGATGCGCTAAGAAACGCACTACAATATGTTGGAGAATATCAACTCACCATGGGTTCTCAGTTGTCACCGTGACCGCTTAGCCTTTGAGATTCCGCCCGGCCTTACAAGGGAAAGCAGAGGATACGATTCCCTTGTTGCCCGACAGACATTGTTGGGCGGCAAAATCTAGTGGCAAGCCCACGGATGCTGCGTCCGTCCGTGATATAGATTCAGACCATTCCATTCGCTCCAAGAAATCAACCTAGGGAGAGTGGAAGTTGTTGCATCGAGGTGGTCCAAGATGGCGGACACCAGCGGTGCCCCGAGCGACGGCGCGCCGATCACCATGAAGCTCCTGGTGGACTCGAGGCCGCCGCGGCCGCGCGTGGTGTTCGCGGAGGCCGGCAAGGACGCCGTCGACTTCCTCTTCTCCCTCCTCACCCTACCAACCGGCACCGCTGTGAGGCTTCTGGGGAAGGAGTCCATGTCCATGGTGGGCAGCGTCGGCAACCTCTACGCCAGCGTGGAGCGGCTCGAGGGCAGCTACCTCCGGCCCGGCTTCGCCAAGGACGCCCTCCTCTGCCCTGCCGCGCAGGCGAGCCCGCTCCTCCGCCTGCCGGCGCCGCCGGCCCCGGCGCCGAGGAGCTTCTTCACCTGCGGCGCCATCAACCACTTCAACTACCAAGGCTGCCGCGGGTACGTGTCGGACGCGAGGGGCGCCCGGTGCCCGTCCTGCGGGAACGAGATGGCGACCGAGACCCAGTACGTGCCGCCGCCGGCGCCGGCCCTGCCGGAGCAGAGCGCCGCCACGGCGAAGACGGGGTACGTGCAGGGCGCCGTGACGTACACGGTGACGGACGACCTGGCCGTGACGCCCATGTCGGCCATCTCCAGCATCGCGCGGCTCGGCGCCCTCGCCGCCGTCGGGGGCCTCGCCGCGCTCCAGGAGAAGACCGTGGAGCTCGGGTACAGGGAGGGCCTGGAGATCCTCAAGGCCTCGCTGCGGTCCAAGACTGTCCTCACGGACGTCTTCCTCTGCACCGGCGGCAAGAAGCCTCCTCCGTCGTCCAAGAACTGCAACGGCAACGGCGGCACAAGATACGAGTGTCTCGCCTGGCGTGTTTGAGTGCGTGAAGCCTTCACTGTTTGGACGTGCAGCTTCATCTTCATCTAACGGAGCAAAGCCACAAAATGGAACAAAGTGATCACAGGCATACATATGTCCACCTATCATCAGGGAATTTATTATCTTAAAAGTATATACATGTGGCAATATGTGTGGTGGTTTAGCAATAATGCTTGATGTACGTATCCAGCTTGAATTTTCTAAAATGCTTTAGATAGTTTTTCGAATGGTATGTACTGAAATTCATGACATGGTGTGTAATAGTTTACAAATAGATGATTAACTGGAAAATTGAATATTCCTGAATGGTATGGAATAACCAATTAAAGTTGTTGTGAAATGTGTGTGGAATATTTTTTAATTTGACAGGAATCTGTTTGAAACAATTGAAATCTGCCCTACTAGAATGCGATTGGAGTGTTTGTGAAATGCCATAAATATTTCCAAAATTTTGAAATATGTATGGGATAATTTGAAATGTTCGTTGAATAAATTATGTGCCATATTTTAATTTTATTTAAAATATGTATTATTTGTTGGAATGTGTGTTTAAAATGATGGTGAAGTGATTGTTTCTGTTTTTGTTTTTACAAAAATGAACCAACACAAAAAAATTAAGAAAATTTTGAAACCTTGAGATTTTTATATTGACTCTTGAATCTTTATATCATTTCTTTGTTTTTTAAAATACTTGAAAACACTATTTTCTCCTACTATTTTTGGTATATGAATACATATTGTTTACAAAAGAGATACTAGTACTATCCAGGATACCATAAAAACTATACGCATGGCGGCGAGAGATTGGCCAGAGGGAGTCCGCCATATAGCGGGTGCTTTCATGGTTTTTCTGTAAGTTTTAATTATCTTTTTTGTGAAATGATGAAGGAGCTTCTGATATTTGTACCTCACAAAGAAAATAATTTGGTTGATTACAGAGTTAAAAAATTCATGAAATTATCAGGTTCATTTTGTGAAACCAAATTGGGAGCTTTGCTACTCAATTAAAAAAAAACAGCTTGTTACAATGCACGTACCACATATTTTGTTTGAAAAAATTGCAAAAATACCAAAGGTAACACAATGGAGTGGATTTCAATTTTTTTTTCAGAAAAGATGTTTTCCAAAACAATTCCAAAATACTTGAAACTGCGAAAAGTGAAATAATTAAATTTTCTAAATGGTTTCAAATAGTTTTTGAATGGTATGGAATAATTGAAGATGTTGTGAAATGTGTGTGGAATATTATTAAAAATGACTAAAATGTGTATGAAACAGTTAAATCTATGCGTCTGGAGTGTCATTGAAATTATTTGAAAAAACTGATGTTTTTTAATAAGAACGAAATTTTGAAATCAGTGTTTCCTGAAATGTCATAAAAGTAAGTCAAAGTTTAAAATATGTCTGGGACAATTTGAAATGTTTGTTGAATAGGATCAAAACTCTTTGACGCATCTTAAATTCATTTGAAATATGCACACATTTTTGGAAATATTTGTATCTAGAATGACACTGAATTTATTTATTTCAGTTTTTAAATATGACCGTTTTAAACGGAAATTGAACCTACAAAAGCCATAAAAAATATATAGCTATTTTTGAAACCTTGAGCTATTTATATTGACATTTTAGAATCTTCAATTTATTTTTCATTTTGTTAAAAATACTTTAAAAATATCATTTACTATTTTTATATGAATAGTTTTTTTTTACAATAGAGACAGTACTTTCTAGTATACTTTTAAAGGCTATACACATGGCAGCCAGCGATTCGCCGGAGTTATTCGAATTTCTGAAATTTGTATCCAATAAAGAAATGAATTTAGTTATCTGAATTGAAGTCACTTTGAATAGTATCATAGGACACGGGCAGCTTTTCCCTCCAGTCGCTCGGTCACCACCACTTGCTTCTCACCTCGTCTCCCTTCCACTCACTCCGTCGCCTCCTCTCATCCCAAATACCACCACCCAATCCACTCCCACACCGCACGTCCGCACTCCACCCACCCACACTCACCATGGCCGCCCAGCTGACAGCCGCGCTGCCGTCCTACTCCCCGGCCACGACCAAGGCCGCCGCCGGCGGCTCGTCCCCGTCCAGCCACTTCCTGGCCTACCCCAGCCGGCCGCGCAATGTCCGCAATGGCGTGCGCGCGCAGGTGTCGACGACCGAGCCGACCGCGGAGCCGGCCCCCGCGGCGCCGGCCAAGCCGGTGAAGATCTCCAAGAAGCAGGACGAGGGGGTGGTGACCAACAAGTACCGCCCCAAGGAGCCCTACGTCGGGCGGTGCCTGCTCAACACCCGGCTCACCGGCGACAACGCGCCCGGGGAGACCTGGCACATGGTGTTCAGCACCGAGGGGGAGGTGCCGTACCGGGAGGGGCAGTCCATCGGGGTGATCGCCGACGGCGAGGACAAGAACGGGAAGCCGCACAAGCTCCGGCTCTACTCCATTGCCAGCAGCGCGCTGGGGGACTTCGGGGATTCCAAGACCGTGTCGCTCTGCGTCAAGCGCCTCGTCTACACCAACGACGCCGGGGAGGTCGTCAAGGGCGTCTGCTCCAACTTCCTCTGTCAGTACTATGCATCTCTTCTCCTATCCTTTCTTCCTTTTTTGGTTCGTTCATCAGTCAATCAATCAATCAATCGGTGAAGATGGTGATGCCGAGATGCATGTTTTATGGTAATTTTTGACGTCTCTGTTCTTGTCTGCTGAACTGCTATTTTGATGTGCAGGTGACCTGAAGCCGGGTTCAGAAGTGAAGATCACTGGGCCGGTGGGCAAGGAGATGCTCATGCCCAAGGACCCCAACGCAACCATCATCATGGTACTGCACAGTCACTAATTCTTGCTTAAAATGAACGGGATGGATAACCACCACTTGCATCCATCCATGTCCATCCATGATCTATCCATAGCCATATGCTCATGAACACCTTGCTGACATATGCATACATAATCGCAGCTCGCGACGGGAACGGGTATCGCGCCGTTCCGCTCCTTCCTCTGGAAGATGTTCTTCGAGGAGCACGAGGACTACAAGGTCAGTAATTTTACATGGATCAACCACCACACAATTACAGAACAGTAATTCAATCATGCTTGAACAAAATCTATGGCACTGAAATCAGCCAGTGTTTTTTTTTTCACCCGCAAAAAAGAAAAAGAAAACAGCCAGTGTTTAATTAGCAACGAGACACAACAATATCAGAGTTAACTGTTGATCTACAAACATTGGTGCAGTTCAATGGCTTGGCATGGCTCTTCTTGGGTGTCCCCACAAGTGACACTCTGCTCTACAAGGAGGTACCAAATTCAACCTGCCTAGCTAGTACTGTTGGAAAGTTCAGACAGTGATCCATCTGCCTGACATGCATGGAAACTGTGCATGTTTTCAGGAGTTCGAGAAGATGGTGGAGATCGGCGGGGAGAACTTCCGGCTGGACTTCGCGGTGAGCCGTGAGCAGACGAATGCGGCGGGGGAGAAGATGTACATCCAGACGCGGATGGCCGAGTACAAGGAGGAGCTCTGGGAGATGCTCAAGAAGGACAACACCTACGTCTACATGTGCGGGCTCAAGGGCATGGAGAAGGGCATCGACGACATCATGGTCGACCTCGCAGCCAAAGACGGTATGTACCAACAATCCATTCATCTTGCTACCCGAAATTGGAAAAATAGTGGATCGACTGGATTTGTTGCTATGAAATGTACATTCGTCTTGATAACGATGAGGTTATGAAATGTTTTGTTGTTGTTGTTGTTGGTAGGGATCGACTGGATCGACTACAAGAAGCAGCTCAAGAAGGCCGAGCAGTGGAACGTCGAAGTCTACTGATTATCATCATCGTGTCGTGCCATTACCACGGAAGGACTTGCATGCATATGCTGCAGATGTTTTACCCACACCTAGTTTTCGTTTTTACCCCGCAGCGCAAAGCTCAAGCTTCGGCCATATATACGCCTTGTATTTAGCGACGAGTGAGTGGCACGGCGAGCATCAAATGTTAAACCAATTGTTGGCTCCTCTGATGGATCGATCAATGTAGATATTGACACACATTTGTCCCGAGCTCACTCGATCGTCTTCTCATCTTTATACACTATTTTGCAGCTGTTTTTATGCAGTGTATCATAACAGTTTCTTAATGCTTGATGTTGAAAAATAATTGCTTTTTAGTGTACTATTTGAAAAGAATTGATTTTCTGTGTGAAATAATGTTTAGGTCTTGCGAAAAAAAAGTTAATTGTACAAAAAAAGTCATATCTAGCAAATAATAGTATTTCTCAAGACCTAAACATTATTGCGTCTAGGGAATTTGCAAAAAAACAAAAGTTAATTGTACCGTAGTGATAGATTGATTTGTGGGCCGTTAATGGGGCTCGTAGTGCAATTGCGTCTAGTCAGACCCATTACCAGCCCAGAGCCACCTATTACTCACTCTCCCCGACAAATAAAACCGCAAGGTTTCTTTTTAACCTTGAAGGCTCAAGATATGTTAAATACTATAACATTTGACCTTCTAACATATGTCTAGGCATTAGGGCAGAACCGGGCAATAGCACCGGTTTGTAAGGCCCTTTAGTGCCGGTTCCATAACCGGCACTAAAGTGTGGTCACTAAAAGCCCCCCCCCCCCTTTTAGTACCGGTTCAGCACGAACCGGTGCTAAAGGGCAACCACGTGGCACGAGCCAGCTCCGGGGGGCGGGAGCCCTTTAGTACCGGTTGGTAACACCAGCCGGTACTAAAATGTTTGGGGATTTTTGGTTTTATGATTTCTTTTTCATTTAATTTTGTGTTTTCCATTTTTCGTTTGCTGGTATTTTACGGTACTACACATTGTACACGTTATGCATATATATATATATATATATATATATATATATATATAGAATTTCTAGTAGAACCAATCATATATATATCATCAATGTCTCACAAATCACCACATTAGTTCACACATACACACATGTATAGCTATATACAATTTCTCCTACA